TTGAAAAGAGTTGTGTAGTGGGGGTAAATTTGGAGACGGAGGAGTTGGTTGAGGTAGCAAAGTCCTTAGGTTGCCTTACAATCTAGCTGGCCCTTGAAGTACTTAGGTATGCCTCTAGGAGATAATCCAAGAGAAGGAAGATTTTGGAATTCGGTCATGGAAAAATGCACAAAGAAGCTGGCAGTTTGGAAGAGAAACTACATTTCCCTAGGGGGTCGGATCACTTTAATTAGAGCTACTCTTGCGAACTTGCCAACTTACCTTCTTTCCGTCTTTAGAATGCCACAAAAGGTGATTTTGAAGGTAGAGAAAGTCATGAGGGATTTCTTGTGGGATTCAGGGGAAGGGAGGAAGGATCATGTGGTTAGGTGAAGGAGTAGGGGGGTTTGGGATTAGGCAATCTAAAGAAGAAAAATACAGCATTACTAGGTAAATGGCTGTGGAGGTGGCCTCTAGAAAGGGAGAGGCTTTGGCATAAAGTGGTAAGGAGCGTGCATGGTGTGGTAGACAACGGATGGAATGCTAGTGTATCTCGGCGTGCTACACTGAAATCCCCATGGAAGGCTATTCATAGTATTCTTCCCGTTTTCCTAAACCTGATAAGGTATGATGCTAGTACTGGAGATAGGGTTTTGTTTTGGGAGGATGTTTGGATTGGTGACTGTGCCCTCAAGGACCTCTTTCCCTCCTTGTATTCCATCTCGTGTTTTAAAAGCGAGCCAATTCAAAGGTTCGTATCCTCTTCCTTTTCTTTTGGCATAAATTGGAATTTGGGCTTTAGAAGAAACTTGAGAGATTCTGAGCTTGACTAGGTTGCTTTGCTCCTTAAAACTATTGATTTCGTTTGCTTGGACCCTCCTTCTATAGATTCTCGTATTTGGAAGCCTTTACCTTTGGGATCCTTTTCTTGTGCTTCCTTCTTTGCTTCCTTGTGCTCCTCTCCATTGCCTCAACCTTTTCATGGCAAGGAAGTTTGGTCCAAACCTGTCCCTCCTAAAGTTGGAGCCCTTTGTTGGGAAGTCTCCCTTGAGAAAATCAGCACTTCGAATGTTTTGCAAAAAATAAGACCTAGTCTTTGTATCTCTCCTAATCGGTGCACCCTTTTCAAAGCAAACGAGGAAAGTTGCTACCATTTACTAAACACTTACCCTTTTGTTGTAGACCTTTGGGAAAAGCTTTTTGATCTTTTTGGGTGTAGGTGGACAAAACCGGTGCAGATTTGCAATCTTTTTGATCCTACAACTTTCAGGTGGCCAAAGAAAAGAAGAAGAGTTTTGTGGAGGTGTGTGAGAGTTGCTTTGGTGTGGACTGTGTGGGAGGAACGAAATGCTAGAATCTTTAATGGCAAGGAGTGGGATCAAACTTGTGTGTCAGAAAGTATCTTATGTAGGGCTATAAGTTGGGTAAAATCCTTGGATCTGTTCTCCTCCTACACTTTTGATGACATAAGGAGAAATTGGGAACAACTAGCTAAAAGTTCTGCAGTCAGAAGCAAGCCGATGGTGGATGGGAAGTCTCCTGATGTAGGCGTTATTAAACTAAATTTTGATGGCAGTAGTTTGGGCAACCCGGGGCCTTCTAGAATAGGGGGAGTCTTTAGAAATGATGAGGGTCAGATTGTAACTCTATTTTCTGGTCCTCTAGGGTGGGGAGACTCAGTAAATGCAAAACTCCAAGCTGCGTTACAAGGAGCAGAATATGCAAGAGAGTTGGTAGTGGAGCATTTAATGATTGAAAGTGATTCCAAATTGGTTGTTGGATGGCTAAAAGAACCAGAGACGAGCTTGGCCGTACAGGGGGACTTTGAGAAGATTTAAGTGGCTGACTTCAAATATTTCAGTCCCAGTTCAATGGGAAAGAAGATCGGCAAATGGGCTGGCAGACCTCCTAGCTAAACAAGGAGTACATAGGAATCAACTCTTTTGGGCTCAATTGTAAGCTTTATGATGTAGTTTGGAGGCTGCACCTCGCTCCTCTTAGTGGGGAATTGTATGATGTATACTTAGTTCTTTAATTAATAAAATTATTATTATCATTATCTATCAAAAAAAAAAAAACATTAGGTATAGTATCATGCCCTCCTTTGTCTTGTAATCTATCTTTAGCATCCAACCAATCTTTAAAGCAGATGCACATCTTTAGACTTTCATCATTCATACAACTTCTCTTGTCGTCTAACACACTAGTACCTACACTAAAACAAGACTCCGATGGAACTGTAGACACTAGAGGGATTAGTAGATCATGTGCCATGGCGGCGATAACTGGATAATTTTTTGCATGTTCACTCCACCAGACTAAAATATCAAAATTATTTGTTCCCTTTGAGGTGAAGGAAGAATCACCTAAAGTAGAAAAAATTGCTTGTAAATAAAAATTAAGTTCAGTAAATGAACTTGTTGTCGAGGCAGTGGATTTTTGCCTCTTATTAAATAAAGAAGTTTTTCTCTTCCACTACTGGACTCAAGTTCAAACATGGAATATGCAGCTGTACAAGTTTTTGAATTTTTATTATTCCATGTTACTTCAAATTCATATGAACTATACATTTCAAATAATAAACTATTAATTTCTTCTTTTTTCCAATTTCAATATTCATATTTTCACAATATGTTTCAATTAAAACATCTAAACCATCTTTCATAATCCTAGGATCTAATATTCTAGCTAAGCAATAAAGAGGAGAAATGTTCTCCCAATATTTTTTAAATTTATTTTCCATTATTTCAACAATACTTTTAAATTGTGGATTCTTTCTATATTTGCAAAACAATTACTAATCACCATTAATTGATAAAGTAAGTTACAACTAGTTGGATAATAAATACCCGATAATTCATTAGTTGCATCATAAAAATGTTTTAAAAATTCTCTTACACAAATTGCCATTTCCCAGTCTTCCTCAAATATAATATCAATAGGCATTTTTGCATTATAAAAATCACTAACAATTTGTTTGTGAGAAATGCAACTTTCTAACATAGCATAGGTAGAATTCCATCAGATTGAGTGTAAGCCCTATCATTCACTTTGTCCGACAAAAGGGCTGATCCTATCTCTATGATCACCCACTCAGATGAATTCTTAGATTGCCTCAACATACCCAAGTTTGACCCTTGATGGATCTCACTGATTGGCATATCAAAGACAACCCAATCCAACACCTAGTGCGGTACCATAATCAAGTCTAGGGGTTATGTGTAACTTTCCAGTTTTGCCCATTAATCTCCAAGGTTCAGGGCATAACTGGAAAATGGTCCGGGTTTAGTTTTTCATGCAAATACACACTACATGCACTTCTGGTCTAACCCTAGCAATTGAGACAAGCTGCCCCAACTTCTTTGGCAACACACCAGTGTCAGCCTTGGCAGAATAAACTCCCAAAGTCTATTCAATGACTGAGAGCATTCTAAACTAACACGCGTCTCATAAATGTCCAGTTGAAGGGGTAATTACACAGAAACATACCAATATCAACATGAAACAATAATGTACTTTTATTCATTTACAATAAATGTATCTATATATCAATCTGATTGGAGGTGAGGGCATTACACCGTCTAACAAAGCCAACCAATAACAAGCTTTGAGTCCCTTTCAGTTCTCTACATATTTAGCTCCTTGGCTTTCTGAATTCCTTCTATCATAGCATAAATTTGAGCTCTCAACGAGTCTCCCTCTTCTATAGGGACGAAGAAAAGAGCTTTTACGCCATCTTCATTTCTAAAAGCACCTTCCATGCCTGATGGTCTAGGATTGCCTTCACTACTACCATCAAAATTCAGCTTCATAAATCCAATGGATGGAGGGGTCTAGGATGTTCTAGTAACAACTTTCAATGGAGTAGAGTAAGCCACATTGAAATGGGAGATAGGTTGGGCACATGCCTGGTTACCATGGCCTAGACTTATCATGGGTTATGTTTGGTTCATTAGAAGCTAGGGCTGGGTGTGGGCCTAAACATAAGCCCAAAATTGAGTTTGGATTGGGCTCTGGTGGTTCTGAGCAAAGCATAGGGTATCCAGATTGTAATTTCAAGAAATGGTTGTTTTTGTTTGTTCATTTTTTTTTCATTTTCCCTTTTTATTCTTCATTTTGTTCTTATCTTATCTCTTATTAAAACACTCTTTATCTAAAACTAAATGATTTCCTATTTAACATCAATTTTATACTTGATATGTAGGGGTGCTTAGGGTTTGGTTAACCAAATTGGGCCTTTTTTCCAAACTGAACAAGTCTTTCAATTTTTGGAAAACTGAAAATCGAAACTGAACCAAAACCAATCGGTTAATTGGTTGATTGGTTTGGTTTTTGATTGTTTGGTTCTTCGGTTTTTCAGTTTTTTTTAACTTGTAATATATATTATCAATAAATATATAATTATATAATATAAATACTAGAAATATATGTAATATATTATATATTATAAATATATTTATATAATACATATACTGGTTGGTTCAGTTAATCAGATTTTTCAGTTTGGTTTGGTTTTTTGGTTTTTGGTGAACACCACTAGTAGTAGTTATTCTCCATATATTTTGTTTTTAGTTACTCCTGAAACTGGACCAAAATGTTGAGATTTGAAGTTTTCATCAAAATTTGTCCATTTGTTTTATGTTTTGAACAAGATAGTTGGATGTCGTTTTTATTTTTGTAAATTCCTTAATATTTATTGATTTTTTATTTGTTTAGTTTTTCTGTTCATGCTCAGGTTTTTATCTCTCAGCCAAACTTATTCCAAAACAAAGTTTCTAAGGTTTACCTAAAGAGGAAAAAGCCAACTCCACGAAGAAACCTTACTGACAAAGTCAAATCTAGTTGAATGAGTTTCCATATGTTCATATTTGTTTTATAGGTTACGAGGCATAGGGTATATAAGCTATGAATCACTTTTCAACCATTTTGAGAGATTTAAGTTATGTAAACTTATGTACATTATATCATCTACATCTATGCAATTTCATTTCTTACTATTGTTTTCTAGTTTTCATTTGAAGGTTTGCAGTGAAGTTGTGGACCTGTAACTTCAATTCACAGCTTGCAAATGCTCTGATAATTGAAGGTGATTACCGAAGTTCAATTTCTGCTTTAGAACGTGGATATATATGCGCCACTGAAATATCCTATCCAGAGCTTCAGGTTTGTGGAAGCATAATAAAAATTTTATATGGCAGTTGTGTGCCATCTTTTAATCTTCTTAATATACTGAATTCAGAGGGAGGCATGAGTAAAAGCTATCCACTCTCTCTCTGCTTTATGTGATGCAAAAACCTGGGACTTAGAATCTGTTGTTGATTTTCTTACCAAGTAGACTTTTTTATGTCAAAGTTTGACTTGATTGGTTAATCCTAACAATTGGGTCTGTGTATTTGGGAAAGTCAAGATTTACCTGAGGTGGCTTGAGCCCCACTGTTAGAAGGTCATCTTACACTGCACTTCTAAGAACCTAGGTTCAGACCATGATGAACTGGTTTGACCAGATGCGAAATTGTAAGCAAAGAACTTTGATGGTACAAAGACTTGAGATCTCCTTTGGGGCTACACTAGGTGGTGTGCAGATTCTCATATTTAATTTTCTGAAAGTACAAAGGAGAGCATATAATTTGAATGGTTCAATCAAATGAGTTCTTTTTATGATTATTTGTAAGCAATCAGATGAATCTATGTCCCAAGAGAGTTCCTTTGGTGATCCATTCATTTTTGCCAATTCTTTGAATCTGACTGGTTTCATTACAAACACATGCATATGGGAGGCACTTGGGAGTTTATTCTGTTATCTCCTTTTCTGTGTTGCATGGTGTATGGTTTTATTATTTCTGATGCTTTATCTTATGATGGTGAGCCAGATGTTTTTTGCTACTTCTGTTCTGCATGTGCACCTCATGCAATGGGATGATGTAAGTTTGGTTGAGAGAGCTGTTGAAAAATGCAATGAGGTCTGGGAGTTCATTCAACCTGATAAAGTAAGTGCCATTATTATCATATCTTATTTTTGTAAGTTTTTATATACATGCCTGATGTATAAATGCAATTAATAGATGGAGCTTTGATTGAAAGTTTATAACAAGAATCTTTACAGTTGGTGGTTCATTTGAAAAATATAATGTAAAGCTATAGCTGTATCCTCTAAACTGATCTTTAGGATAGTTGGTGCTTTATGTTTATTATTTTTTATTTGTAGATAATGCTTGATAATACCAATTTGGAGTTGGTATGTGAAAGGAACAAACTTATTTGTATTTCTCTTTGTATCAATCAAACTCAACTATTACTTCGAACCGATTTGACATCTTCCCTGGCTCAGCCAACTGATGGTGGCTCAGATCAACCCACCCCACCAACTGAGCCACCTTCCTTTTCCTTTTTTTTTTATTTATTTTTGATTGGTAACGTTTCAGGTTTTATTGAAAGATGATATGGTATTAGAGGAAGTCATGCCTTGCACCCCAAAATACATATGGGCTAGCCCTTGCTGCCTAACCCCTAAGTTCTTTTACTTGATTGATGGTCCCCCTTTACAGCTGGTTTCTGGTCATACCTTGTCTTGTCAATGTGTCAACTAAACCATTGGCTGATCTAGAGACCCCATGTGAAAGGTTGCTCTTATCTCCCTAGCTTATCATCTCACTTCATTAATTTTTGTTTTGATAAATAAGATAAGATAAATTTCATTAATAGAAAACTAATGCTGTTAGGAGAGGCACGAGCTGCATCCTCTCCTAACAGCAGGGAGAGTCAAAAGATAGAAAACAGATTCAGTCTACAATTGAGCCCAATACAAACTTTCCCTGTTTACCCCTTGTTTTGCAAGACCATCAGCCATAGATTTTGCTGATCTCCCCACCCATTGTATTTTTTTTTTTTGATCAATAAAGATTTCATTAATTCACCAAAGAGGTTACATAAGGAAGACAAACACACTTATCTTTCAAGTACAATCAAGAAAACAAAAGAATAGGTAGAGACAAAAAATTACAACTTAGCCCAAAACATTGAATCCCTTTCTGCCCCTTGTTTAACTAAACCATCAGCTAGAGAATTGGCTGATCTTTTGACCCAACACATTTTAACTTCCATCTCCTACACCAGCCACTCAAATTTCCTCCTCTGATTACTATATCTCCATAAACCGTTGCTGTCTGCATTCAGCCACCCTATCACCACCTCCGAATCCCCTTCAATTAAGAGTTTTCTGATGTTCATCTCCTTGGCTTTCTGGACTCCTTCCATAATTGCAAAGATCTCAACTCTAAGGGAGTCACCCACTCCAATTGGGCCTGAGAACAAGGCAAAAATGACCCCATTCTCATCCCTAAAGACACCCCAATCCCTGATTGTCCAACTACTCCCATCAAAATTTAATTTCATGAACCCAGCAGGTGGAGGTGTCCAAGACACACTCATTATTGACTTGGTCTGTGTGCACTTTGCTATTTCACCCCACTTCGTCAACATGTCATCCACTGTGTAACCTGTGAATAGTTCCGAAGATTTCAGCCACTGTACAACCCTAAAATGAATGATAGCCTTTAGTTCTTCCACCCCTCTCTCAGCCGCTGAGAATATCCTGAAGTTTCTTTCTTCCCATATTGTCCAACATATTGCAGCCCTCAAACCTCTCCACATAGTCCTTCCCCTTTTCCTACGCCACCTAAAAACAGAAGGGGAAAAAAGGCCCTGCAGATCTGATGAAGGGTTCCATCTACACCCAAAGAGGGAAAAAACCCATTCCCAAATTGACCTCGCAAAATGGCAAGACACCAGTAGGTGAAAACCAGTCTCCCCATCCGCTTTACATAGAGCACACCAATGGGGTGACAAGCAAGTATTGGGTCACTTCTTTTGGAGTAGATCACCAGTGTTGAATCTTTCCAGATAGGCTTCCCAACAAAAACTACTAACCCTAGGAGGGATTGCTCTGCACTAAACCTCATCAACAGGGAAAGGGGGAGTTACAAGACTGGTGGACTGGCTTAGGACTTTGAAAAAGGAAGCACAAGAAAAGAAGCCAGTGGGGGTAGGGGTCCAAATTCTAGAGTCCGCCCTTGTGGGKTCTAAGACAACATTATCAAGAAGTTCAAGAAGGCTCGAAATATTTGCAAAGTCTGAATCCCTCAAGGCCCTTCTGAGACCCAAATTCCACCCAAGCCCAGAATTGGAAGAGGACGAGGTAATGAAGGATGAAACTGGCTCATTTTTAAGATCAGATAGAGCATACAAAGAAGGAAACTGATCCTTTAGAGGGGCATTCCCCACCCAAGTTTGTTCCTAGAATTTTATGGAGTTACCGGAATTCAGATCATACCTGATATTGGGGGAGAATACTGGAAGCAGATCGTGAATCGCTTTCCAAGGAGAAAAGCTTGTGGTCCTAGCTTTGATTCCAACATCCCAACCATTGTGCTCCAACCCATGTATACTTGCCACTATTCTAGCCCATAGCTTCTCCTTCTCCAAGGGGAACCTCTACAACCACTTCCCTAGAAGAGCCATATTCCTTCTCCTAACATTCCCGAGCCCCAAATCACTACAAATTTTACTCCTGGACACTACCTCTTAGCTGACTCTATGATCCCTCTTCTCCTCTCCCGGGTAAATTAGCAAGCGTGGCCTTAATCAGTGTAACTCTTCCACCAAGAGAGAGGTAATTCTTTTTCCAAGAGACCAATCTTTTTTCAAACCTTTC